TGCACTAGTTTGGTTTAAAAAAGTACAATTAACAAAAATTATAACAAAAACGTTACAATTTCTGTTAATGAAACATAATTTCTTTGTTTCAATAATAAAAATTAAATTGTTATTATTGAAACATAAAATATGTTTATATTATGAAATGAAATTTAAGAAATATTTAGCGGTGAATTAAAATATTCCCATAAAACAAACATCACGGGTACTGAGATTATTTTAAGGACAAAAGTACTTATCAAAAATGACAATTGCATTAAAAATTATTTTTACTTATAATGACGACATTAATTTAAATCTCAGATGTAGGTAACGTTATTGTTTGTGCCTATTGCAAAATGTTTACTTTTCGTCAGCGGATATTACGTTAGTATGCGTGTTTGTTGACTTGTAAAAGGTCTGCGCAGGCGCTTTCGATCTCGGCGACTCTGCCAGTTATTCAATGACATAATATATAGTTGTGATGAATCAGTTAAATAAAGATCGCTGTATTTCTAGTATTATTGTTATGGATAGTTATTGATCTTTAAAATAATGTTCTTTTTTATTATTATTTATTAAAAAATACTAGTAATGCTATTAAACATTACTAATATTCCCTTTAACTACTTCCAGTAAGCTTAAAATGCTTGTGTTAGAAGTGGCTATTGGTCGAATTGCGGATTCGAACCCACGACCTTTCGAGTTTGTGGTCCGGGCTCTGCCATTAGGCTACTGACGCTTTAAAAAAATGAGTGATTTCGTTAGTTTTAATATGAAAAATAATTAGATAAAATTGGAGAAATTGTGATCTAGTGGTTATAGTAAACGACTCCATGCTGCCGGTTGAATTCGAACCCCAATTGAAATATTTATCAAAAAACGCAAATTATTGATTTAGTGACCGGTTGCGTTGTGATTGTCCCCGTATTACTGATACTGCAACCTGACCTACCCCTATCTTTTTACGAGTTTGTACCTCTGTGTTGGCGCGTACACTTGAGGCACTATAGCTATAATATCTCCTGCACAATAGATAGCTTCCGATCGATATTATCAACATTTTCATTAAAGCCCCTTGGTGAAAATAGTATATCAATTCGCCACTCCATCTAATAGGGGGACGCCCAACACTGCTCTTTCCAGGTCGGGGCTGTCACACGTAAACCTTACTTCGAGTTATTTAGCCGGTTCATCGCCACTTCAGCTTACTGATCTACTGGGCTATGTAAGTTACTCTTATGCCTCTGCGGATATCCTCTTTACTTATATTATCACATAAATAAACTTTGAGCATAGCCTTTTCATCGCTCGCCCAATAAATTTTAGCTTCCTCATCACTGAAGGTTCACGTTTCGGTTTAGTAGGTAATCACTGGCAATACGAATAAGCTTCCGACATTTATCGTAATTTTTTGCCATGATAGAAAATCGGCTGGTAGAGAAAAGGAAATTTGAAAGAAATTGGAAAGTTGAAGACTACTTTAGTGCAAATGCTGAGCCAAGGTAAATCAAGATGCTATAAAGATAAATATAAACAAACAACTAGAATACGTTTATATAATTTAATAATGTAAATTTAGAAGAAACTTTCTGTCCCTTTTAGTGGATTAGGAAGTTAACATTAATGGATTCTCTTGCCACTAAATGACAACATTATGGTTATCAGATGGTGATTTTAGAAAACCGAAGTAGAATAATTTGTAATTGGAATATATTTAAAATTAAATAAATAAATTTTAAAGTATTTAATATATAAAACGAAAATATAGCATTTCTAACTACAAATATTTGTAAATTCACATTCGCATAACAAAGTAAACGCGTTAAAAAGAAACTTAAAGTAAACGCGAGTTTTCTGTTTATGGCCATTGGAGTACGGAACTATAAAAAGTATTGTTGTATGTAACATCGTGATGAATCGGCGCAAACTTTCTTTTTCGACACAAGTAATGCATGTTTTATTACCCGTATATTTTGCCAAAATTAGAAAATTTTGTCACATTGTGAAATCTGGAATGACACAGTCAATCATGAGACAATTTAATTACGTAATCGGCAAAAATAATAATGAATTATTATAATCTTTATAAATATAAACATATTTATATTTATTAATATAAATATATGAGTTTATAAATAGAATAGAATACAATAAAAAAAGAATACAAAGAGCCTTGGTAGTTCAGCTGGTTAGCGCTCGTTGTAAATTTCACAGAACGCGAGAAACCCGGGTTCGATCCCCGCCGACACCAATGAAATTGTTAATTGCGAAAAGTCGGTGAAGGAAAACATCGTGAGGAAACCTGAATGTCTGAAAAATAAGCACACATTGAGAAATAACACGCGGTGGACACTTCCATGCCCTTAAACCCTCTCAGAAATAAGAGGAGGCCTGTGCCCAGCAGGCTATAAAGTAAGTTAATATATTATAGGCTGTAAATTTAACTTTTTTCAACAATAAAAAACTTATTAATTTATGAATACGCAAATTAATTTGAATTTTTCGTTTAACAAGATGGAGTTAATTACGGCTTTAAAGCTATTAACGAATAAAAGGACGACGGTTATGAGTATTACATATTGTGAATCATGACCTTGGGTTGTTCATCCGTTCTCTGTAGATCGTCAAGACGCCCCAGATCTCCTGGCGAACGGACCGTGAGAAAATCACTTATGTAAATGTAAGTCCAGGGAATCGATTATCGCCGCGATGTGCTATCGGTAACCTACCGCGAGCGTACGCTCAAATGGAAAGTGCATCGGTTAAAGATTGCGCAAAGCACCCAGCCACATTGCAATATTGCAGCGCCTCTCTAGGCCCGAGCAAATGAGATGCGCTGTACGTGCTTAGTGCATTCGTGTGTCATTTATCAATTTTGTAGGTATCTTTTTGCTGTAGTTTGATTATGATGGAGTAAGTTACTTTAATATGAAACCAGTCTTTGTTATCCTGTTAGTATTAGTACACAAAATATGATGTCTTCATAACATTAATTATTTTTATAATAATAGAGCGACAAACAAGTTCACACTCTACCTGATGCCTAGCAGACCCTGCAGTCAAAAGCAAAAATTATCAGTAATTTGATAATATGTACAATGCATGAAAAACCCATTTTAACCAAACAATTTACGAATCGCTTGATGTTATTTAATTTCAGTCACCTTATGTTGCAGTACGCATAGTTTGTAATACAAGCTGTTTTATATGCACTTGTATATAATAAAACTGATTGTTACGGGAACGAACGTGTTTTGGATATAAGAATCGTGTATTAGCTAGAGAAAAATCTTTACCCCTTCGTGCGTTATTTACTGAGATGTTATTAATATTCACTATGTTTTCTGTCTTCTTGCTCTATCTACTGTTCCACTGTTTAATTTAATTTTTTAATTCCCGACGCTTCGGGTGCTTTACAGCACCCATGGTCACGGGGGCACTAAGTTGTTTGATGTCCCGATGTCATAGTTAGACCGGCCACCTTCAGTTTTTGAATATTAATTTTTAGTCCGATCTACGCATCATACTGTTCCATCTTTCAATACTTGGAAAGTAGGTACCTCTTCTGCCTAGGAAACATTATATAAAAATCCACTGTTGAACATAGGTCTCCCCCATATATTGATTCGTAGAGGTATTTTGGAATGGTATCCACGCTCGGCAGGCGGTTTGGCAACCAAAATGTTTACTATTTTGAGTTGTGATCAAAATGCCGCTGCCCATCTCCCGTTTCAGATTTTCTTTGTTGCCTCTGCATTCAATATTTGATATTCTTACTCCACTACTACACGGTAGGACCGAAAGTCTTATTGCGATTGAAATGGTACAGAATCTAATGCGTGTGCTTAATACGGAACTATGTAGTATGTAGATGTTCGTGTCGGTATTTGAATTATGGTATCGTTAACGCCGGGTTTTTATACATAACTTTTTATGAACTTTACTTCAAATCCAATAAAAACATAACTATTTATTATTACATAAGAAAGGAAATGTATATAACAACTTTTAAGTTTTTTTTAGTTAAACATTTTCCACTTTTATTTATCATCTCAATCTACAACGTTCATTAAAGACTTTTTAAAATATGTTTTATTATTTTTATATTTTGAATAAGGAAGGAAAGGCCGTAATTTAAAAAAAAAACAAATAGTGTTAAAATCAGTAATACATCCATATTTCTTTTGCATCCTATTGTATCTACTTATACTTTTAGGTAAAGGTCATGCGGAATCGAATAGTTTTAAGTTACACGTTTTTAAGATATGAAAAGTAAAGTAATAGCCTATAATATACGTCTCACTGCTAGGCAAAGGCTTCCCCTTATTTCTGAGAGAATTTTAGGGCAAGTAAATGTCCGCCATACTGCCCCAATGCGTGTTGGCGAACTTCATATGACGTGAAATATTTTTTTTATTATATCTCAGGATTTTATTTCTTTATTTCTCAGACATTCAGGTTTTCTCACGATGTTTTCTTTCATCGCCAACGTGGTAATTCAGCACTTACAATCGCAATAAACAATTTCATTGGCGTCGGCAGGAATCGATTTCGGGTTACTCGCGTACTGTGAAATTTACAGTGAGCGCTTGGCCCCTGAGCTACCACGGCTAAGGTATTTAATAAAATCAAAATCCCAAAATTCTAAGTCTAAGCCCAAATTTTTCTTTAAAATTGAAGATATTTTCCAAAAATTGTATGACTAAAACTGTAAAAATTTATATAGAATTAATATAATTTTTAACGGATTAACCTTTTTATATTAACTATAAAAATGTTATTAAGTAGTAATTGTTGAAAATTATGCTAAATTCCCACGCGCCCGGACATCCGTTCAACAGCGAACATCCAAAGGTGCACACGCGCAGTAAACATAGCGACGACACATATTTTTTTAAGTCCCTCACAAAAAAATACACATTTAAAAAAAACATCACAATGGTGTTGTCACGTTGTGAGTACATCTTAGCACTTTCTTCACTTATGTTATTGATTCACATAGCACTATATAGACTTACCAAGGATGGGGAGAAGGGTCAGCACGATCCACAGGGGAGACATGTCGCCGCGCTGTGCGTCGCGTTGGAACTGGCGGTGGCGGTGCTGGAAGTGCTTGCGGTGGGAGCGCGCACGCCGCCCGCCCGTGCTTTGGAGGGGCAGAGCACTGAAAGCTCGCCGGGTGCCCGCCCGTGAATTTATTCATGACGCGATTTTTTCTCTTCACGACCGATCAGAGGCAATGTCGTGAAGTCGCATGAATTGGGCGAAAACTCGACCAAAAACACTGATAAAAATATTAAAGTTACATCTATCTTCTTTTCCTTTCATTCGTTAATTCTTTAAAGTCTGTCAAAAATCAACAGCTGTCAAAAGGCAACCGCAATGAAGTATGTTATTCAGGAAGTTCCTGCTGCCCGTCTCCTGTTTGATTTCCCTCTGTCGCCTCTTATGACACAAGTTTTAAGATTTTTCTTCGCCGCCATTAAATGGTGTAAGAGAATAATGCCAACACAATACAAATAAAATCCGCACACTTCTTGTTAATCAATCTTGCTATCGATATAATTATTTGCCGTCACTTCAATGAATTCACTACACTGCTGCAGGTTCGAGAGTGTAGTGCCGATATCCGATTATCGGTATTGTTACTCCATATTAGTCTTTATAAAAGAATATATTACGAAAACAAAGTAGCTTTGGGTGCATGTTAAGGCCGAACCCAGTTCTCGAGTCCCTGCGGTATTTTAATATAAACAAATCATATATTTTTTACGCGTCTCGATATTAAGTTGCGGTGTAAGAATATCCACTACCCCATTTCGTCCGAAGCAAACAAGGATATGAGCAGTAGCGACTTCCTAATAACAATGAAAAATTAAAAAACTGAAATGGCCAACCCGCCTGCCAAGCGTGGAAACTTTGGCAAATATACGACCTATTAGGCAATCTATGAAGGAGGCCTATGTTCAGCAGTGGACTTTTGTATGCTGTAATGGATAGATGGATGCACCTTAAATGCGAAACCTCCAAACATGAAGTAGAATAAGGTTTTAATCATTTGTTCCTAGAACCGCCAATCCACATATCGAGAGCAGCGATCACAGACAATCTTCCCTGTCATAGCAGAGACCGACATAGTCTACCTGAGCTTACGATTTGCTGAAAAATCAGAAGTATTGTGATTTGCGATTCAACCTAATGCTTTTCCTTTCATAGAAATACAAACGCTACATTGGGTAAAAAAGAATATGCTCTTTTCTTGAAGGAGTACCTGTAACTCCTTCAAGAAAAGAGCATATTCTTTTTTAAAAGACCGGCATTGCCGCTGCAATTCCCCTGGTGTTGTAGTTGTTTATGGATGGCGGCTATCACTCGTGCTCGTTTGCCCTCTCTTCTATAAAAACACTTTGGGCTATTGCTAATGTTACTACAGATATTGCTCTCTGCTGAGACAAAACATTAAGTTACAGAAACAAGTAATTGTATTACAAACTATCTATCTAATTACTAACTACTTAAATACTAACCGAAGACGCACGATTGATAACATGTTATCATATATACATGAATCTGACGGCGGCGCCGCTCGGCTGAAAGTCAGCTGTTGCCAACATGCGGTAAAACCAAAATCATTAATAAGGATATTTTTATTTTTACTTTATAAGGGATAGCACACACTCAAACGAACACATAATCCACTTGACGGTGGGCGTATCCTGTGGTTCATAGACACCTACATCTATCCTCCTGATTAAGAATCAAAATGCAAATGCGATGCCACTCCTGAGGACTAAGAAGGAATAAGTCGTTGCTATACTTAGTATGGTCCTTCTCTGGTCAAGGTAGTGCTGAAGCTATAGCACAGCAAAGGCATGCCTAGTCTGAGCACCACAGAACTACACACCCTAGCTTATACACTCCAGCTTAGTTGGTGTAAGCTCATAGATTATAATTATATATTAGAGAAATAAGACTTTTTTGATTCGAGTGTAATTTTTTTGTATGTATGTTACGCGATATCTTCGCAGATTGTGAACCAATTTTGATGATTTTTGTTATTAAATAGGTTGTACTTCGCGTTTTGCTTTGAAGCAGCGCGTCTGTATCGCGAACAACTTCAACGTCGTGGTGGGCCGCAACCGCCGTCTTATCCCGACCATCGTATTTTTATTAACACTTACAATACCTTGACTGAATGGCCTTGCAGACCGCATTTCCGGTTAACGCGGAAATCATGAAGGATCCTTAGAGCAGACCCTGATGGCAGAGAAGTGGTGCTGGAAGAGGTTGAGAGAAATCCGTCAACGAGTACGAGAGCTATGGCTCGTGCTCTGGACATCCCAAGGTCTTTTATCCAAAGCATACTTCACGAAGAAGGATACCACGCGTACCACATTCGACGAGTCTACGTGTGGTCAGGGATAACAGAGAAGCTTTTAGAAGATTGAAACGCAATTTTTTACGCAGGTATAGGTCATGCATTGCTGCTAGAGGTGGTCACTTCGAAAACTTACTGTAAAGTTTAAAAAATAAATTCTTCTACATTTTTATCTACTTTTTACATTATCGTTAATTTTCCTTGATCAATCTTATTTTCCAACATTCTCTCATCATTAATTAGCCTCATGAATGATGATTATGGCAAAAAATTAAGTTGCTGTCTTTGAAGACCGATTTTAGCCAAATAAGTCCTATTAAGTACTAATTTTTTTTTTTATGATTATGAAAGCTGGGAGCCTGGCGCATTTTTCAGACAGGCTTAGATTTTGAATTTCCACCTTTTTAGATTTTTAATTGAAATTTAAAAATTTAAGACATAACTCACAAAACGTAATTTTTTAACTTTAGACCAAAAATTTCTTTACTTTTAGTAAAGATACGAAGTTGATTATTTTATGCGTAAAAGGACAACTTATGAAGACTCATTTGCAAAAATAAAAAAATCTCAAAAAAGTCTTCAAATTTTTATTTTCATTTTTTAAGACAGTCAAGACGAAATTTACCAAAAAATTTAACTCGAAAACTATCAAAAATCGCGGAACATACATGGGGGTAATTCGAATACCCCACGACCTGCCGAACCTAACAAAAATTTTATGACGTCAATTGTCCGGCCGGACAATTGACCTACAGATTTGTTCGGAACCCTCGGTGCGCGAGTCCGACTCGCACTTTGCCGGTTTTATTTCAGTTGAAACGTGGCACTACCACGAATAATATCTAGGCCAAAAATAACGTTCAACGAGTGGTAAATTTAAAATTTTTTACAAATGACTTCAATATGAATTTAATTTATTGTTGATTTTTTTTAACTCCTCGACCGATTTAGATAAAATATAAAAAGGGTCACTTGGTAAATATACCTTTTCAAACAAAAAAAGAACTTTCCAAATCGGTTCACAAGTCTTTGAGTAATCGGTGAACATACATAAAAAATGATTCCGACGAATTAAGAACCTCTTCCTTTTTTGAAGTCGTTTAAAAAGAAGAAAACTTACAACAATGTCATAGCTAGTAAAAGTAGTAGAAATTCTATTGCACAAGTATTTCAATAAGCATTTGTATTATGTACTTATAAAATTATGCAATCAATTCTTAACGTGGCGACACAGAGCACAAACATTTGATCTATTAGAGGCGAACACTCGCCACATCGGACAGCCTATTGTCTCTGAAACTCATAACTCATACTCATTATACTGTTATAAGTCAGTCATGTCGCATCTATTAGACTCTTTAGTCTAACACTATTAACAGCTTGTGAGTTTTACGTAACTTCAGTGTCAATTGTTGTGAATGCATAACCTTCCTCCTTAGAATAGTACAGACCCGACACTAGATGGTATACACGATCTCTTAACATAATAATATACTTGACGGTCGCTGCTAAGTGGTTCGAGTATCTATCTCATCGCAGTTACTCCATCTGAATATCATTCGGTGGCGCCGTTATTGTTTAAAAATAAAACTTGCTTATATTTGGGTCCAGATTTGTTACAAATAACCCAGTATCTCTGATTCTACATTCTAGCGTGCCTCCATACCTTCATTGTGAAAAAGTAATATCGGAACTTGGGTAGTTATGTATTGTCACCCTATGTCCTGATCAATAAAAAACCTTCCGCCACTAAAACATTCAAGATAATTGAAATTTATAAAATTTCATACTAATACTTGTTACGTATAGTTTTGTTTTAAAAGTAGAATTATATGGAAATCGTTAGTACAAATGCAGGCGTGGGACAAAAATTCCGATGGTACCCACACAGATATCGAATACTGCAAAGTGCATGTGGTTTCCATTGTTCTTAACTGTGAATCACTGAATAATATCCGCGGGATATTGCCTAACTGAATAAAACATTAGTTTATATTAATAGGTAAATATTTTAATAGTAATTTATTCGATTTCAAAGGATAACTGTAAATGCTTTATAGATTTCTGATCGTCATCAAATAAAAGTAATCCTCCCGTTGAAGAAAGGATTTGATAATAGAATTCACGCTGCTGCTATTAAAATATTCCGCGTCTGACGTAAAAGAGATGGTTTGGGAGCATTTGTATTTTTTCTTGCATTTGCATAGTCTTTCTTCCATAGTCGCCCCCCCCCCCCCCCATGAAACTAATAGGACGATATGTGATTGATTCTCTTACGCTTCCATCACACTCTAATTTAAATCATACTTTATATACTCAGTGTGGAAAACTGTAGGGCACTTTTCTGAGCACAATTTTTTTTAATAGAATAAGGGTGACAAACGAGCACACAGTTCACCTGACTATAAGTGGATGCTGTGGCCCATAGACATCTATATTTGTCCTCAATTAAGAATGAAAATGCAGATCCGTTGTCACCTCTGATGACTGAGAAGGAATGCCTCGTTTCAAGTAAAAAAGGGTGTCCGGTTTTCTACACTCACCATACGAAACACAGCAGCATTAAACTGCTATTTTACGCTGGTATTCTGTGAGAGCGTGGTCCAACACCGGTCGGGCCGACCCATTAGTGCTGCAACCACGATATAGCTGCACCAAGGCTCTACCACGTTTTATGTCCTAT